TATATATATATATATATATATATATATATATATATATATATATATATATATATATATATATATATATATATATATATATATATATATATATATATATATATATATATATATATATATATATATAATCTTTTATACACGTATCCGCGTACAAAATTCATATATAGCTATGTATGTAACAAACGCTTGTTCCCGCACGTATGTAACTCTACTTGCCGGTGTATAGCAAATTTGAATTGCTAGCGTGCCACAAATACACTATTGTAATATGCTGAGTTTTTCCGGTTTTGAATGTCGATATCAGATACGTAACTACTACTTTTGTGTCAATAGGCAAACAGAAGTGCACATTAATGAGACATAGTTTGATTCCTTTCTTGTTTTCATTCGTGCCTGGAGAAGAAATTGCCCCGAGATCAGAAATAGGATTGGGAGGAATTCACGTATAGAAAGATCCCAGATTTATAGCTTTGCGTTAAAGGGATACCGCGGGTGATGAACAGGTGCACATTATCGCTTTAATCTCTAGTTATACTTGTAGTTAGCCTACGAGCACGAGTAAGCGGATTTAGAATGAAACACACACCATTTTTTCCTGATCCAATCGCGAGGCGACAGCGCATACAACCACAACTATAAAGACAATGCATACCAAGGCAGTTGACGCTTAGATTTTGATCACTGTAATACTTGTACTAAAACTTGTAGTGTGTCTAAAGGTCCTATAATGAAATACGTACTACGCAATCTCTGCTAGAATTTAAAGGCGTATACAACCATAACTATATAGACTATTCATACCGAGGCAGTCGTAGCCTGGGCCCATGTTGGCCGTTGTGGCTGGTACTCTGACGTGAGCTCGTGACGGCATTTTCAGATTGAAGCTGGTTTGTGCAATTAAGTGTCGTTATTTAGTCTCAAAGGGATGAGTGAAGTGTGTGTTCGAATTATAATCCCTGTCTGACAGGCACTATCAAATTTGTAAATAATTACAATTTTAGTGAACAACGTGAACAGAACACTGAACTGGCAGTCTGGCGACTGGCACTGGGCAGTCTGGCACTGAGGGTCCAGTGTGGCACCTACCGCTCATCACATGACTCATATTTTAGTAATGTGTCAGCGAAAAAGCCATTCGTGTCAAAGTGTCATCGTTTCTATCCAATGTCCACATACATACAAACAACAACAAGGCGACGGGCGAACATGCACATAAAATACTCACTTCATATATAAAATAAACAATCACAGGACGGATATATTTTGTCTGTTTTATTATATTCGGTGGGTATATTTCTGTGTGTATGCAGTACAATTCAGGTACACGTTAACGTATACTATATATATATCAGTTGTATATGCATATATCAGTGTACAATTCGGACATTCCATACGTATACACAACGAAGCCAAGATGTTATCCGCCTCGAAAATGTTAACCCGATCTACCGCCGCCGGTGGATCTCTGCGTTCTGCTACTGCCGCTGTCTGCATCGCAAGTCAGCGATGGGCTTCGAACATGCAGTGCAGGTACACTCTAAATCATAGGGTTCATCTTGCTGTTTAGCGCATTTGTGTGAACTTCTGACATGTGGAAGTCGAACTAAATCAAGCGTTTCGATCAGCGCTTTAGCGTATCTCCCGCCAGTGTTTTATGCGTTTCTATGTACCTTTGAGTGCTGTTCATATTTACATTCTGCACCTTGTATAATGTATAGCAAGTATATCTTGATGTACGAACTAGTGCACCGAGATAGCTAAGATATATAGAAAATATGTCCTTGATAGCTTTTCTAATACTTCGTTTACAATCCTAGTACACCACATTATCCAAAGATTTTAAATTTATGCATACTCTAATGAGAATACCAACTGAATCATCGCAACTCGTAATCTGTGTGCTTGTACTCGACAGGCTAGCTGCCCGCCCCATCGGGCTACCCAAGGATAGTGATTGGAAGTTCACTGAGGAGCCCATTCCCGAAGCGAAAACCGATGGAGATGTGGTGGTGAAGACTCTCGCACTCTCTATTGATCCTGCGATGAGAGGATGGATGAACGATGCCAGATCATATCTACCACCTGTCCAAATCGATGAGGTGCGTGTTATTTCATTTATGTTGAGTGCACTTGTGTCCGTTTTGAAGATCGGTTGCCGGATTGATTGTATTTCGATCGTTGTGTTCGAATATCTGAGACTCCTCTTTGATCGGCTGAATTTACAAGTTGGTCGAGATAGCTTATGCTTCCGTACATAATTCAAACTTATATTATTAAATATCTTGCATGCGCTTATGTCTTCGTAAATTAATCGCTATATTTATGTGCTTTGATCGATATATTGAACTCAATGCAACAGGTAATGCGTGCTGGAGGCGTAGGCAAAGTCGTCTCGAGCAAGAACCCAAAATTCACCGTGGGTAGCCATGTATCAGGTATGGTTGAACTAAAATGATGCCGCAAGCTGGTACGATCCCGGCGCTGAGATATCCGTCGCCTCTAACTAACACAAAAACATGCTTGGGACCTGATATTAGCGATAACCTCGTATACCAAATGTCTGATATTCGGCCCGCAAACTCGTTGCCTCGTGTTCGTGTTTAGTTTGGGCTGTGTCGGATGACCTAATAGTCGGGGTGGGAGGGGGAGATATATGACCCCGCAGCTGACAGAAAATTTTATGACCCTTGTGAGCAGCGCTATATACCAGCAATACTTGACTTATCGATATTTCACATCATCTTTTCGCCTATTGGAAAACATATAAATCCGTATTAGAATCAAAGCATAGTGATATCAACTATATAACTGAGGTTGTCTTCATATTCTGATACAGGCTCCTGGGGTGTTCAGGAATACGCATACATGCCCAAGGAAATTCAGTCTACCATAGGATTGACGAATATTGATATGAAACTCGGTAACGTATCTCAATGGCTAAATCCACTGGGTATGCCGGGGATGACCGCCTACTTTGGTCTTTTGGATGTGTGCGGCCCAGTTAAGGTATGCTTACTCAAACATGCTTAAATAAGTTACAGATTTACATCGATTCATATACTTGTTTATCTTTTCATACATGCACATACATGTATTTAAATATTTTAACACAATTCTTTAGATACTAAATTAAACCATTTCTAGATGTATTACTATTACGGTATCATAGATTGTTGCGCTTCTGTTAGATCCCGTTTTTCAACAACGCAGCTTTTAGTAGGCCGAGCATGTGAGAAATAACGATGTAAATGGTGAGAGCTGGTTGGGTCCCTAAATTCAATGTAGCTGTGTGGTAGGGTCTCTAAATTCAATATGGCTGTGCGGTAGTGTCCCTGAGTTCAATGTGGCTGTGCGTTAAACTAAGTGTTAGTTTTTGTTTTAGATACGACACCTGCTTTGACTTCGACTGGCTTATCTTCGTCGCCCAATTTCTGCTCTTACCATACCTATCCATGACAAGTAGTTTAAATTCCAAGCTTCTCTTCCAGCACGATGAGAACTAATCCAGTTCTTAAATACATCCCACATAACAAGACCTTAGATTTAGAGTATAAACTAGAGACAACTTGTGACTCTGGTCTTCACTGATATCGATACGGGGTCGATCTCTACCCCACTAGACCACCTCTCCAGTAGGTAATAGAGGCATGTGTATCTTTGAACGCAAACCCACACTTTTTGTCACGTCATACCAACCTAGCCGATTAGTGTTGCACTTGAGATTTTTACTGGGAAAGCGAAGTGTACAATCTAGCAAGCTCTTTTGAGGCGAAAGATGTCTAATCTCTGATCTAATACTTTCCTTGACTTCGCTTCTGCAGGCAGGGGAGACGATAGTTGTGTCGGCTGCTTCAGGTGCTGTGGGTCAAACTGTCGGACAGGTGCGTCTACGCAGCACTCAGATGTGCCTAGTTTGTCCCAAGTGGTCATCTCGAGTTCAATTCGCCAATTTTCGGTCCATATTCTACTTATCCTTTACAATGAATTTTCGCAGGTCGCCAAGGCACGTGGGCTCCGAGTAGTTGGTATCGCAGGCGGGGCTGAGAAGTGTGCATTCGCTGTGAACGAGCTAGGCTTTGACGCGTGCATCGATTACAAGGTATATATTAATGCAGATTTCATTGGCATTCGGTGTGTTCAAGTACTTCTACCATTACTGCGCTTTCTAGGCACTTTACTTTTCGCAACCTGGTTGTTCTTCGACATATGTGTACAGTGCAATACCTTTCCACAATGTCAATAATACCTACTAACTTCAAATCTGTGCGCAATCGGGGAAATAGTCAGGGCCCAAGGCGGTGAGCAAAGGACTTTCGGAACACTGCCCCAAAGGCGTAGATATTTTCTTCGATAACGTATGTACCGAGAAATCGGCAGAGAGGTTTTGTCAAGAGTTGTTTGTTTTTGTTTTTCAAAATGACCCTTGTTGTCGTATTCTGCCGATTTTATTTTGACCTATATACATCCGGGCTTAATATCTGCAATATGTTCGGTGCATAGCTGTACTCGGGATATTTATGCAAATGGCTATATTGTCGTATCTATATGTTCTGTCAAAATACCGTGCCAATTAGTGCGGACTGCGAACCGCGAAAACGTCTTTCAAGAAGAGACACGAACCCGATGCATGTCAGGCCTTGCATACAGTGTTAGCAGTAAAATACTAACTTATGATACATACACAACTCGTAACATTGAAACCTTTTTTTTATGGTTATACATATTATGTATATATATTCAGGTTGGTGGCGAGATACTTGACACGGTGATGACCAGGTTGCGTCGCAATGGTATGTACGCGTGGACGAATATTTCAGAGCTTACACAATTTCGTTGTAGAGCCCCGAACTATCGTTCTGACTATTTTTGCCGTAATCATACGCGCGCTTGCTAACTTTTCTGTGGAACTTTATTGATATTTTCTATGAACAGCTCGAATTGCTATCTGCGGTGCTATTTCACAGTACAACAACACCACTGCAGTCGAGGGACCCGCAAACTACCTTAGTCTACTGGTAAGTGTACATCACTCTTTCCGATCCTTGAATCTTGCCATATGATTCTCAATCCACAACTACACCGTGCAAACAGATTTGCTATTTCGATTGTTTAATCATGGCTGTATCCGGCTTTACAAAAGATTTTTGAAATACAACATAACTTTGCTGATTATCATGTTGTTATATCGTAGGTAAATCGCGCCAAGATGCAGGGCTTCATTGTCTTCGACTATGCCCCCAGGTACATGGAGGGTATTCAAGAAATCTCACAATTGATAAAGGAAGGCAAATTTATCAGCAAGGAGGTAGGTATTAGGTATTTGTCAGATAAATAGTGAACGATAGCTGACATTGATTCCCGATACGGCATCCTTACGTAATTCAATACTATTTAGTCTGGTTGATCCGCATCTCACTGCAAACTCTATTTTTGATAACCCCATTAAAAGCACGTGGAGTCTGGAGGTGTAAAGGCTTTCCCCGCCGTACTGAACAAACTTTTCGCCGGTGAGAACTTTGGCAAGCTGGTTCTTAAAATCGCGGACGAATAGGTTTTCTTCATTGATATAATAAAAATACTAAAAATCGTACAAACTGAGAAGTACAGGAGATAATTTTTGTGAAAAAATTCAAAGAAAATGAGTGTTCAGAAGCAATAAATACTGTGATTGTGACTTGTGTGAGTTGTGGCTATGTTTTGTGTTTTTCTTTCTTCTTTTTTTTTATAAATCAATGATAAAAGGACTGCCCCTCGCTGAAACATTCCGACTTCTAAATATTTTTATTTATCACCTTCCACAAGTGCCAAATTCCAAATCAAAAGTCATATTTTTAAAAATACTTCCACACCCCCAGAGGGCAGAGAATAGAGAGTGACTTCCACCCCCCAGAGGTGACCAGGTCCCAGAAAGACTTTCAAGTTTGTATCATGTACATAGTATTTACTACATATTTACATATTTATAAACATGTTTGCTGGGTTTTTTCGAGAAAAAATTACCAAAAGTAAATGTCTTAGAAGGCTATTTTTGTTACCTGTTTTTAATAAAAAAAGAATATGTGTAAATATATCTATATTTAGTCCTTTTTGTTTGATAAAAACAAGGTATATAATTATGCCTTCTATTTATTTAAACAAAACTAATTGGCAGTCCGACTCAGGCAAAAAATGAAGAAAAAAAAAGGGGGTTTTTTCAAAAACATTAAAAAATATTTTATGTGATGAGTGCCTGCCTGCCTGTGCCCTGGAGGCTGGGCCTGGGCCTGGGAGGCTGGGGCGATCAGGCGACGGCCCGCGGCGTTGAGCTGTTGATCACTTGATCCTTTGACCCTGTGAATGTGGCCTGTGCAGTACTCTGTATTCTGTACTCTGTACTCTGTGCTCTGTAGTGCCCTAAAGGCCTAAAAACCCACCAGTCACCTCACTCAATAGTACATACCGTCATACCCACAAACTTTAATAAAAAGGCTCAAACACTCAAACAGTCAAACACTCACAGTGACTCACACCCTAACAAGATTCACTCCTACGAGCTACACACTTGCACCTATTTTTAAGCTCAATACGAACGACTGTACTACATAAGAATTAAAAATTGAACGATAATGTGTATTTTTATGTTTTTAGTTTCTGATTTGAAGGTTTTACATATACTCTTTAACGGTTTCGAGCCACGAAAATCGAAACTGTGCACACACCAATTTACTACTTTTGTTTTTGTTTTTTTTTTTAAACCAAAATTCATAGCCTCCTAAAACGAACAATGAGCCTGAGCCCTGAGCCCTGAGCCCTGAGGAATGTCTCTATATGTAAAGCACCATATTTAATGCCTGAAGTCCTGAAGTCCAGAAGTGACCTGAATCCTTGTGTGATGAGTTGTGTATTTAAATTTTTTAGAAGGCTGTGGGCCTGGCCTCTCTCTCTACTACTGTAGAGTGGTATTCTCGATTTATGTTTAAATAAAAAATTGCGGTTAATGAAATCACAGAACAGGATAAAATCCCTTGGACCCTGGAATTTACAACAGAACGGGACAAAACAAAATTCATCGTTGTTGAACTACTGTGCAAACCGAACGATAATATTCAGAACCCACAAATTCACATTTACACGCAAGTTCAACAGAACATTGACTCTGGTCTGAGGCGTTGTATTCTCTTTCAGGTTATAGGTGTAGATTATGACCGAAAACTAATATTGACTGTTGTTTCGGTAAAGATACATTTTTATTAATTACGATATGTAGTATATCTTTTTCAGCGTGAGCCTTCTTGAGTCTGTTATTAATACCAAAAAAAGGGTACTAAATAGTATGATATACTACGTGCTTTTGATATTTTGAAGAGGGTGCAAGTCGCAGAAACACAATGTATTACCCTTTGAAATTGTCAGTAAGGCTGAGACCATTCTCAGGCTGAACCAAAAGGATGAGCCTCGTGTACTGTGTGGGACTTTAGTATTAATAACAAGCCATCTCACATTGTTCTCAATGTACATGTGTACACGTACACGGTATCAATATTATTATTTGAGTGCACGTCACTGCACGACTACCCACCGACCACCGGTAAAGTGCACACGCGTAATAGTTCGATACTTGGGTCAGTTTCGTCTTGTGTGGGCCCATAAATATCGACCTTGCATTTGCGGATGGACTGCATGCGATTTAGACACGGGCTCCGGCGTTAATAGTTTTATGTTCATTGGTGCCGTATAGACATTCGGTTGCCCGCGAGAATGGCCCTTTTAAAAGAAAGAAAATTAAACATTGTCAAAGTGATGCCTGCGACGCTGCGTCAAAACCAAGTTTGTTTTACAAAATAAATACTGATGACCGACACAAGAGTCACCACAGACTGTCGTGACAGACTGTCAAATGTCAAAGTGTCAATACTTAGTGCCCAGACCTTTTTTTTTTAAATGTGTCGACCAGAGACAACCACACTGTAGCCTGCGCTTGTTGGGTCTACTAAAAAAAATGTAGATTGGGTATTATATGGGGCGGCAGCCTGTGGAGTGTGGACAAAGGGTCAATATGTATTAAAAAATCCTGACGCCTAGAGGGGCCCTGGGGCCTGGGCTCTGGTTTCAGAGAGTTCGAGATTCTAGAAATTGCCTTACACCTTCGGCGCTGGGCCTGGGGCCCTGACGGGCCTGACCTTGGACCTTCGTTTACCGGCCGGCTGTAAAGTGGCGATTGAAGTTGTAAACTGTATCTGGGTGTCTGGGACTCTGGGTCGGGCTGACTGGCTGCTGAAGTGCTGATACTGCCACAGTTGTATGTATTCAATATTAACTCTCTGGGGTGGTATTTGTCATTATTCGGACTGTTGACTCTGGACTCGGGAGTCTGAACTCTGGACGGGTTATATTTCCATTTGTGAGTACTGATTTGTGGTTGAGATTCGAGAGTTGATGAGACCCCTGTCTCACACACCAAGAATGCTCATAAATACAATACATACAAAAAATTTAGAAACTTGAAACCCCTGAGGAATCATAAAACCATTCCAAAAAGATGATATTTATTTATACATTATACTCTTGTGGTTTAACTTTCTTCTCGCTAAATATTTGTACTTTTCATCATATACTATAACTACACAGTACTTCACAGTACACACTACTAGAGAGAGTCCTGTCTAGTGTCTACTATTTACGTATTCATATACTACCAGATCTGCTGGTATCTATCTATTAGTCAGTGAAATGACTACAGTAGCCTAGCTCGAGTAGCCCGAATATGGCCCACCTCATTCTGCTGAATGCCAGCAGACAATCTGTACGGGATGGGTCAACGTCGCCTCACGACTCCTCCCCGTCTGTGTCCAGTCAGCGTAGGGGTACTGTAAACGTAGATACTCCGAGTTCAAGTGCCGGCTGTAGAATGACTCAGAGTTTGAACAGATATATGGAACAGAATCCCAGTGATGCGTTGCGACGATTAGCCGTGGAAAGAAGTAACTTCACATTCGATACAGAATCTTTAGCGGGGTCTATCGTCGATGGCGAAAATTCTACCCCTCATAGTGACGGCGATGCCGACTGTCGAAAACCTGGTCACGGTATGTGTTCCTTGAGACAATCTTAGTAATTGCGATTCTGATTTGCCTCGGTATCAAGTATAGGCGAGACTGTTGATATTTAGTTGAAGTTTGTGCAGAGTGAGACATCGCCGCTAGTAGGTGACTAAATGCACGGTGCCCATATGTGGTTTCACAAACATCATGCACCTTTAATTGATCTATCAATGCTGAGAATCGTTTTTAATAGGAAACTGCACCCCTTTTTGGTTAGTATCCTATTGAATGTAAATACACGATTGAAAGCAGTTTATA